GTGTAATTAAGTTGAGGGGTAGCCTGTTCACTTTTCATTCCACCTGCATGATAATTAGTTTAACAAACCTAGATTTTTAAAACAAAAAGTCTACATGCATGTTTATCTTACATAAAGCCCTATCTTACTCCAGACTCTTAACTGGGTCTGTCTCTTCACTTCAACTCTCTCGCTCCTCGTCATTTAGGGAGTGTCTTTAATCCCGCCACAAGTCTTTGTTCCCAGTTTTTCTTGGGCTTGAATCTGCTTCCCAAAACCAGTTTGATGAGCTCTGCAGGGAGGTTGAGACAACGTCCTCCCATTATCTTGTAACAATACCCAAGTGGTTGTTGAGTAACGTCTTATCTTGAGTCACTGGTTTGCCTTCCTGCTTGCCTTTTCCAATGGCCTGCTCTTACACCAAAACAACATATTAATACAATAAAAATCTCTTAGAACTATTTAGACAAACATATAGAATATACAGTTCCTTATAATTGTTACAGAGCAGCTCCTAATCAGGCAGTCATTAGCCCTGTATTTAGAAACATAGCATTAAAGCTTCCATACTGGTCCCACTAGCCCAGTATCCACCACTGGTAATGTCCAAGACCTGATATTCCTCAAACAATTACATGGCTTCTACAGACTTTAAACCCATCAGCTGAGTCTTGAAATCACACTGGGGAAACCTAGGGCCTAATAGGCAAAGTATGAAAAGGGCCTAACAATAAGCTGCCTTCTGAGATACCTAAATGAAGCTGAAGAATGAATGCTTTATACAGACAATCACTGTCTTATAACCCTTCCTTGTCCCAAAGTGGGGTCTTCACTCCTTCACAAGAGCGGAAACAACCTGCCCCCTTTTACTTTAGAAGATACAGACATCCCACAGGGCGAATGCACAGGTAAGAGCCAAATGGGCCTTGGTATCTCTTTTAAGCTGCAGAGACCAAATGCACATCTTCAGTAAAAGTGTCCAGTAACAAAATCCCACCCAAATGAGGTGCACTGACCCATACTCTATACAGCTTTGCCAATGCTGGCATTCGGTTCCCATAGAAAACCATATTTGGCTCACAAAATTGTCTACCATGTTCAGTTTCTTAGTACTCCTACAATGTCCAGGCCTGTCAGACAGCGATCTTATTATTATTCCACCATGTCAGCTGGAGACATAGTCCAGAATATCCTAAGCACAATGTAACAGAAAAGCATTGCTATTAGGTTCCAGAAAGTTCTTCCAAGGCACAATGAAAAATAGATTCTATCAAAATAACTGGATACCTTTTTGGATGAGATAACAAGTTTGGTTACTAAAGGTAATAGTATTGATGTAATGTATTTACACAGGAAAAATCAGCGGGGTTAACGACAATAAGAAGGAATTTTTAAAAGTATATTAGGAACAAAAAGAATCCTAGCATGATATTGATCAATTACTAGATGGAAATGGTAGAATTATCAATAATAATGCATCAAAGACAGATGTCTTCAGTAAATATATCTATTCTGTATTTTGGGAAAATACAGATGATATAGTCTCATCACATGGCAATGACAACACTCTTTCTATTCCACTTATGCCTCTGGAGGATAGTAAACAACAGCTACTAAGGTTAGACATTTTTAAATCAGCAGGTCCAGAGATCTACCTCCAAGAGTTTTAAATGAGCTGGTTGAGAGGCCCTCTACACCATTAATTTTAATTTTCAATAAGTCTTGGAGCACTAGGGAAGTCCCACAAGGCTGGAATAAAACTAATGTTCCAGTTTTTAAAAATGGTAAATGTGATGACCCAGGTAACCATAGGCCTGTAAACCTGATATTGATCCCTGGCAAGATAATGTAGCAGCGGACATGGGACTCTATTAATAAAGAAGTAACAAACAGCAATGAAATTAATGCAAATCAACATGGGTTTATGGAAAATAGATCCTGTCAAACTAACTTGATATCTTTTTTTATGAGGTTATAAGTTTGGTTGATAAAGATAACTGCGTTGACATAATATACTTCGCCTTTTGTAAGGTGTCTGACTTGGTACCACACACATTTTGATTAAAAACTAGAATTATATAAAATTAACTTGATATACATTACATGGATTAAAAATTAGCTAACAGATATGTCTCAAAATGTAACTGTAAATAGGGAATCATCATTGAGCAGGTGTGTTTTTAATGGGATCCTGCAGGAATTGGTTCTTGGTCCTATGCTATTTAATATTTTTTATGAATGACCAGGAAGAAAACATAAAATCATCACTGATAAAGTTAACAGATGACACAAAAATTGGAGGAAGAGTAAATTACAAAAAAGAATAGATCACTGATTCAGAGCAATCTTGATTTCTTGGTAAACTGGATTCAAGCAAACAATGTGTGTTTTAATATGGCTAAATATAAATGTATACATCTACGAACAAACAAAGTTGGCCATGCTTACAGGATGGGGGACTGTATCCTGGGAAGCTGTGACTCTGAAAAAGATTTGGGGGGGGAAGTGGTGGATAATCAGCTGAACATGAGCTCCCAGTACGATGCTGTGGGCAAAAGAGTTCATTCAACCCTGGGATCCATGAACAGGGGGATCTGGAGTAGCAGTAGAGAGCTTATTTTACCTCTGTATTTGACACTGATGTGATACTGCTGGAATCCTGTGCTTAGTTCTGGTGTCCACAATTCAAGAGAGATGTTAATGAATTGGAGAGTGTTTAGAGAAGAGCCACGCAAATGATTAGAAAACATGCCTTACAGTGAAAGATTCAACAAGCTCAGTCTTTTTAGCTTAACAAAGAGAAAATTAAGGAGTAATTTGATTACAGATTATAAGTACTTACACGAGGAAAAAATATTTAATAATGGGCTCTTCAGTCTAACAGAGAAAGGTACAACATGATCCAATGGATGGAAATTGAAGCTAGACAAATTCAGACTGGAAATTAGGTCTAAATTGTTAACAGTGATTGTAATTAAACAATGGAACAATTTAGCAAGCGTCATGGTGCATTCTTCATCACTGACCATTTTAAAATCAAGGTTGGATATTTTCTAAAAGATCTGCTCTAGGAATTATTTTGAGGAAGTTCTATGGCCTGTGTTATGCAGGTTAGACTAAATGATCACAATGGTCCCTCCTGTCTTTGAAATCAATTGTGTACAGGTTTCACAGCAAGTTCCCTCCATTGCAGCATGCTATTTTCAATATCACCTTGCATGTCACTTTGCTAACATTATTGAGTCCTCATGAAGAAGTCCTTCATAGAGTATATAGATGTGTAGCAAAGTCAAAGGAAACAATAATGGTCATACTGAAAACACACCTATGTAATCAAAAAAGATTCTCATTACATTTACGTCCATGCCAGTTCTGATTACATATGAGCGTATGGGTAGCTGGGGACCACTCCAATCACCCGTGTGTAGAGCAGAGCTCTCCAAGCAAACTCAGTTTGCTTCTGTATCAGCTGAAGAATAGTTTCATGAGAAGAAGTCTGGAAGCATCAGGAAATCAGTCTGTGTATAAGGGCCTGAAAACCATTTTTAGAGACACATTTCATTTAATAGTTTGTTTAAAAGGAAAATGTATCCAGGGCAGAGGCTTGTGCTGACAAGCAGCACATTGTCCTTATGCCTGCAGACAGAAACCCACAGAAACATTTCCTCAGACATCTTATGCCATTTTACCATGATAAATAAAGCAGCAGCTGTATAATATACCTGGAAGCACAGAGGGGCTCCTTGATGATTCTTCAATGGGAAGTAAATAAACAGCACTGGTTTGATAGAGCCCTATCAAGTTGACATTCCCACTCAAAGCATGAAAATATTCTCTCTCTCAGCTGGAATCTTGTTGCAATGGGTTTCCTCTCACCCATATTGCTAGGAATGCACCAGAGGGACATGTTTGGGCTCCTATGGAAGCCAAAACCCAGTAAGTATTCATTTGCAATGGTAGGTGATGCTAAATATTCCATATACCCTCTGTATTCTATGATTCCAGGGCCACAGAATCATCCTCTTGCCACAGAATCATGCTCCAGAAACTACATTTTCAATTAAACATGTGTTTCTGGTCGTCATGGCTAAGAAGAAAACCCCAACAATATGCATGGAGTGTAAGTCGATTCTGTGTTGTCTGCCTGAAGCTTCAGGCACCCTGAAATAATAGCATGAACTGCTCCAGTCAAGAAAATGTGATGTTGACTCTGAAACCTAAAGATGACAACATTAAGATTAACATTGTTAACTATTGTATGCTGCTCATTTTAGGAGAAGATTCCAGGTGATGTGTTTCTCACACAATTCCAAGCTGTTTCTATGTCCCCCCCCCCCAAGTATTAAAAGCCTCCACTATCAAAAACTGCCAATATCTCCAATAATCTCCTGATTGCTTCACCAATGCAGCACAAAAATCTTTGACATATCAAACACTGAAAGTATGAGAACTGGGTAAAACAAATGAAATTTCATACCAAAATAAATGTCTCAGGGGTTGCTGTCCTGATTATTGTGACATTCTATAACTTGTGGGAGCGTCCTGTCACCCCTGTATTCTTCACTTATATATAACTTGTGATATTGCATATAAAGCAGGCTGTACGAGGTATCAGGGGGAAGGTTATGATCTGCTGAAAGTCATTTTTCTACCTAAATAAGTGTATCATTAATGCATATTAAGTTATGAGAATATGTTGTATGGCTGTCACTAAAATATGCTGTGGGCTTGGGAGGCGCCCAGATATTAGCTCTCCAGAGACAATGACAAAGGAGGTATCCCATGCCCAGGTGGGTGTTGATCAGACATCACCAGCCATTGTCCAGCAGAGGAGTTACAATTCAATGACTCACTCACAGTAGACACACCGGGGTATTGCTTCACCTTGTGACTCAGCAATGCCCACTAGACATGCCTGGACTTGTGTTCTCCAAGCACAGAACACAGGGGTCCCATGCTTGACCTTTCTCCTTCCCCCACCTACACTGTAAGCAACAAGGGCACTCAGAAGACTGAAAACTCCAACAGAGGGGACTGGCCCAGGATTCAAGGGTGAAAACTGTCCCCTATGAACTGCAATATCCAGTGGGGTGAGAAAAACTGCTTAACTATATGTTGTCCTGTCTAATAGGGTTGAGAGTTCAGACTGCGTGCTTATATTTTCTTTTGGTAACCACTCTGATTTTTTGCCTATCACTTATAATAATTTAAAATGTATCTTTTGTAGTCAATAAACTTGTTTTACTGTTTATCTTTGCCAGTGAGTCTGCCTGAAGTGTTTGGTAAACCTGCTTAGGTTTGCAAAGGCTGGTGTATATCCACTTTCCATAGATGAAGTGGTGAACCAATTAATACGTTTGCATTGCTTGTCTTGAGCAGTGCAAGATGGTATATTCCTGAGGTGCAAGGCTGGGAGCTGCGGGGATTTGGCTGGTGCTTTTCCCTGCGTGATTCGCGAGTGGCTCCGGGAGCATTCATGCAATCTAGCTGGGTGTGGGGCTCCACACGTGGTTGTGCTGAGTGATCACAGCGCCTGGAGGGGCTCGCTGCTTCACTAGCGAAGCACTGAGAGAGACAGCCCAGGCTGGAGAGTGAAGGGGGCGCAGCGGTCTCACAGTCCCAGGCTGCACCCCAGGAATTCCGTCACAATTATATTATTCATTTGCATATTTAATTCAGTAAAAGGCATAAATATGGTAGCTATTGCAGAATTTACAGTTTGCCACACAATCCCAGGATCTTATTGCAGAATTTAGGCACAGACTGCTGCAGAATACACAGGGTCCTGATAATATTTAGCATTTATATAGCACTTCTCATCTTCACAGCACTGAAAGATATTAACCCCTGGGAGGTAGGCATGTATTTTCTCTTTTTCATAGACAGGTACACTTACGGACAAAATTTTCAAAAATCACCTCCAACTTTGGAGGTTCCCTTTCTGGGTGCCCAACTTGCAACACTTTGGACCTGGATTTCAGAGGTACCAAGTTCTTACTGACTTATATTGGAAAAGCATTTGTCTAAGTGATTTGGCCAAAGCCACAGAAGGAAATGGCCAGAACCAGAAATATTTAACTGTTTCATGGAAGGAACAATAATATTCCAGCTTGCCTTGAAAAGGTGAAGGATCAGTTTGGTCAACCACTGCCCTGTGCATGGACAGTTAGAAGCCACGATCAGCATAAACACTTGTTCTCTCCAATGCAAGAAACAGCTATTCAGAAGCCGACAACTCTCAGCTTCAGATAGTGAATTTTCATCCTAGCCATTTCAGCTCCATTTTCTATTGTCCTTACATGGTTTTGTTTTGCATGCTAAGCAAGCGCAAGCATCAGAGGATAATAAATCAAAATTTATTGCACTTTCCCTACTAAACCTCAGTAAATTTATTTCTATTTCTCAATAGACTTCACAACTTAATATAAATCAAGTGCACCATCTTCTTGTCAGCTACAGAACTGCCCACTGACTTGATAATATTTTATTCCCTATGGTCCTAATTCACCTAGCTCAAGTGAGCCTGAAGACCTCTGGCCCCTTCATTAAGCTTAAATAAAGCACTGATTTTCATGGTGACAGAACTAAAGGAGAACTCTAGGCAGCTGTGGTCTCCACTGGAAACTTCAGTGACTGACGAAACATTTCATGCCTGCTCTGTGATGCAGACAGATTCAATACGAGTCAGAGAGGCTGATGATTTCTTTATAAACTGGTTAACAGGCTAAAGAGGGCATCTGCAGAATAGAAATAGGTACTAAAACTGAAGCTAGACACAAAATAAATATTCCAGAGTTGGAATTCTTAAAAAGATTCTGCTCAGCTATATACAGTACCACATCAAATTTTTATTGCCTACATTTTCTACTCAGAACTTGTGCACTAAAACCAGTCAAAATCATATGAAAGGAGAATAAATTCCATGCACAGTTTTCATGGCAAATATCATTCAAGAGAAAAAAGCACATGCACTTTTTAATCAAGTCCTTTCCTTATTCTTCCTTCCCCTAAACAGGAACTTTGGGCTGGAACTGGGGACGGCACAGACCTAGTCACTAAATTACCAAAGTCAGAGGGAGCCAGAGGTTATTGGGAGGATGTCACATTCTGGGGTGCAAGCCAGACCAGTGCAGGGTTGTGTTACCACCTGCCCTGTAACCCTGGGTGCCTTACAGCCCTCTCCTGGACAGCTCAGAGCAAACATCTGGTTCATTTGTTCCTCTAAAGACAAAACACATCACAGCATATTAACTTAACTAGGGTGAATACACGCTTCCCTTTAAACACAGCACTGAGTTGGTTTATGGTAAAAATGAAATATAAATTTATTAACAAAATATACATAGGACTAAGTCAATTTAAGTATAAGGAATGAAGACAAAAAGAATTACAAGTAAAACAAAACAAAACAGGCTTCTTAAGGTCTAAAACTTAATCTAGCAGGACATGATTTGTTCAGCATGATTTCTCTCACCAGTCCTTCTTCCCAGCCATAGATGACTTTCCCTCTGTCGAGGCCTTTGACAAAAGTACAGGGTGCTAGCTTCTCTTCTTAAGTGAAAGATCTTTGCTAAAGCAGGTTTCTCACCAGCTCAGTTCCAGACACTTCAATTCCACCTTGGTCAAAGGACCTCCCTGTCTCAGCTTGCAAGGGCTCTGTTCCCTTGTGTCTGTCTAGTGATGGATGCCAAAGTTGGCTTCTGTCTTTGCTTATATCTTCCAAAGTTCAGTTAACTTGTTTCAAGAGGCAGGATGAACTCATGCTGTTCTTGCCTCTCTGTGGGCTTCCCATTCTTCTGTATAATTTCTGTGTAAATGGAGCTTCCATCTTTCTCATTCCACCCTTCTTAATTTACACAGGAGACAGGTAGAGAGCTGTGACATTCCCTGCTGTTGGGGCAGACCACACAGCCTAAGATCAATGAGTACTCATAATTCCTTAAATAGCGCTAATACATACATCTCACAATGATATTAAACACCAGTGTGTCATAAGCTTTCAGAAAAGACCTCACTTTATACATGCTTACAGTGCAGTGACATTGTATACAATCAATTGATTCAATAACTTATCACCTGAGGTTTAGACCCCCTTTCTTTATAGACCAGTAAATCTTTTAAATTATTTCTTCTGAATAGGAAAACCCCGGCCAAGCTTCTCTCTCCTACTGGGCGTAGACACCGTGCTGTCTCCCCCCCCACTTATTAGTATGAAGTCTGTCTCCAGCCCTAGTTAGCTTGATGGGTCTGTTTATTGCTTATTTGTAAATTGGGATAAATAGACATTCCTTTGTGTTGGATAACCCTGTTTAACAACTCCCCTGACATAACTGGCTCACACTCACTTGAGTTATAAATTCAGCATACATCCATACCTCTTAATACCCACCATGTACATACATGATGCAAGATCATAGAATCATAGAATATCAGGGTTGGAAGAGACCCCAGAAGGTCATCTAGTCCAACCCCCTGCTCGAAGCAGGACCAATTCCCAGTTAAATCATCCCAGCCAGGGCTTTGTCAAGCCTGACCTTAAAAACCTCTAAGGAAGGAGATTCTACCACCTCCCTAGGTAACGCATTCCAGTGTTTCACCACCCTCTTAGTGAAAAAGTTTTTCCTAATATCCAATCTAAACCTCCCCCACTGCAACTTGAGACCATTACTCCTCGTTCTGTCATCTGCTACCATTGAGAACAGTCTAGAGCCATCCTCTTTGGAACCCCCTTTCAGGTAGTTGAAAGCAGCTATCAAATCCCCCCTCATTCTTCTCTTCTGCAGGCTAAACAATCCCAGCTCTCTCAGCCTCTCCTCATAACTCATGTGTTCCAGTCCCCTAATCATTTTTGTTGCCCTTCGCTGGACTCTCTCCAATTTATCCACATCCTTCTTGTAGTGTGGGGCCCAAAACTGGACACAGTACTCCAGATGAGGCCTCACCAATGTCGAATAGAGGGGAACGATCACGTCCCTCGATCTGCTCGCTATGCCCCTACTTATACATCCCAAAATGCCATTGGCCTTCTTGGCAACAAGGGCACACTGCTGACTCATATCCAGCTTCTCGTCCACTGTCACCCCTAGGTCCTTTTCCGCAGAACTGCTGCCTAACCATTCGGTCCCTAGTCTGTAGCGGTGCATTGGATTTTTCCATCCTAAGTGCAGGACCCTGCACTTATCCTTATTGAACCTCATCAGATTTCTTTTGGCCCAATCCTCCAATTTGTCTAGGTCCTTCTGTATCCTATCCCTCCCCTCCAGCGTATCTACCACTCCTCCCAGTTTAGTATCATCCGCAAATTTGCTGAGAGTGCAATCCACACCATCCTCCAGATCATTTATGAAGATATTGAACAAAACCGGCCCCAGGACTGACCCTTGGGGCACTCCACTTGATACCGGCTGCCAACTAGACATAGAGCCATTGATCACTACCCGTTGAGCCCGACAATCTAGCCAGCTTTCTACCCACCTTACAGTGCATTCATCCAGCCTATACTTCCTTAACTTGCTGACAAGAATACTGTGGGAGACCGTGTCAAAAGCTTTGCTAAAGTCAAGAAACAATACATCCACTGCTTTCCCTTCATCCACAGAACCAGTAATATCATCATAAAAGGCGATTAGATTAGTCAGGCATGACCTTCCCTTGGTGAATCCATGCTGGCTGTTCCTGATCACTTTCCTCTCATGCAAGTGCTTCAGGATTGATTCTTTGAGGACCTGCTCCATGATTTTTCCAGGGACTGAGGTGAGGCTGACTGGCCTGTAGTTCCCAGGATCCTCCTTCTTCCCTTTTTAAAAGATTGGCACTATATTAGCCTTTTTCCAGTCATCCGGGACTTCCCCCATTCGCCACGAGTTTTCAAAGATAATGGCCAATGGCTCTGCAATCACAGCCGCCAATTCCTTCAGCACTCTCGGATGCAACTCGTCCGGCCCCATGGACTTGTGCACGTCCAGCTTTTCTAAATAGTCCCTAACCACCTCTATCTCCACAGAGGGCTGGCCATCTCTTCCCCATTTTGTGATGCCCAGCGCAGCAGTCTGGGAGCTGACCTTGTTAGTGAAGACAGAGGCAAAAAAAG